TGCTGTTTTTCGTTTCACCTCTTCCACATTGGCAAAACGTTCCCTTTGAGGACTTTTTTCATCCTGGGAAACAAACAAAAAAAAAAGTCGATCGTGGTGAGATTGGGTGAATAGGGAGGATAGGACACGGGGGTCATGACGTTTTTGATCAAAAAGTGCTGAACAGTCAGCGTGGCGTGGGCAGGTGCGCTCATAAATCACGCATGATGAAATGGGCAAACACGCTGAGTCTTCCAAACAATTTCACTGAAGCCGAATGCAGCCTCTCACAACGCCAGCTGGTGCACGGATGCAGATGGGTTCCTAGTACACTTGCCTAGCGGGGGAAGCCTGTCCTACAAGGCGCCTGCCCTTCAGAAGATAATTCCATGTTTCTTTGGGGGGGGCCCAACATATTTACTATCTCATCCTTTACAGAAAAAAAAAATTTTGCCCATCTTTGATTTAGAAAACAGTTCAATGTCTGGATTTTGTTCTATTTACCAAGATTAACATACTCAAGTTCCTGTTCCTGTTCAAACTATTTCACTTAACGGGGAGGTTTTATTTTTTAAAAATTGACAGTCATCGATTCAAGTTAATAGGAGAGAAAAAGTTCAGTAGTTTGGGCTTAGGTTCAAATTAATAGAGTTGCTCTGCTTTGGGGGCACTTGGCTTGGTTGGGGTCCTTGAGCGAACATTTTTCCAAACTGGAATAACGTGGGGAGCTGCAGTGGACCTTTTTTTGCACTCGGGGATGCCTTCTATTAAAGCTCGAACAGACGCCGCTCCGTCCAGCAGTAACACTCAAAGAGTCTATCGCATTCCTTGGACTTGGCTGATCCTATCGCCCACAAAGGCCCAGGTAACATTTGTTCACACCTAATTCCAACTTCTTTCACTAAACTCTCAAAAACTAAACATTTGAAAAGGAACACAGTGGTCCCGAAATACTAACATATTCTGAGTCCGCCTTCTGAAGCAGAACACTCCCAACGATGACTTCACAGCAGACTCCTGAACTGCATTCCAGCTTTCCAACTCTGTGCTTCGTCCTATATGAGACTTTCATGCCATTTTTTAAAACTCTGTATTATGGAAATGTTCAAATGTATGCAAAAATAAAACAGTATAATAAACCCCCATATCCTCAGCAACCAGCTTCAAATACCGACATTCTGTTCTTTTTCTCCATGTATCCTTCCCAACTTTTTATTATTTGTTGCCGTACTTGAAAGCAGACGTCACTATCAAAATCATTTCACCCATAAACACTTGTTTGTTGCCATTAGAGAAGTCCTTTCTTCTTCCAACAAAACTGTGTCAGCCCTATTACATCCAATGAAATATCTTATAATCCAACACCTGGTCCAAGTTCAGTTTTCCTCAACTGGTTTGTTCAACTAGGGATCCAAATCTGACCACGTACTGTATTTTGTTGCCAGGTCTCTTAGGTCTCTTTATATCTATAAGAGGTTCTCCTCGTTCTTTTCTACCCACCACTGACAAACACGTAATTTTAATGGGCCAAGCAAACCCTACCAAGAGTAGTAGCGCTTCAGCTTCCATGTGCTTTGAGTGCACCCAGACATTCACAGACCTTTAAAACCCTTTGGGGAAGATTCACGCAGCTCCACGTTCCACGTGCGAGCCACCACCGTCTGACCAACATACCAGGCCATCCACACACTTCCTGATCGCCAGGTGAGGAAGTTAGATTGCTTCGGCAAACTAATTCTCTAAAATTAAATCTTTTCTATGTGGCAATGGCCCGAAGACTTGGAATGATTTAAAGAAACAAGGCATCCATTCATTACGGCTTTTTGAAGTTACCCAAATTTAATCAAGAATCACAAAGTAAATCAGACAAGGCTTCTAATCAGTTCTTGTCACCAGTAACAACATTAATTGAACACCTAGATCATGTAAAACATTGGGTTATAAAAAGGATGACCTGGGTCCTTGCCCAAAGCCACTTACTGCCTAGACAGAGCATTTAGCACATCATTTAGACAAAAAAATGCCCAAGGATGACAACAGGCTTAGAACAACCCAAACCAACAACCCGGGCCCCTGCCATCGGGTTAAAAATATTTGTGAGGTCTGTGTGGTGGGTTACAACAAACGAGGGTCAGAAGAACAGAGTCTGGAGGCCAGCGCTGTCATGAATGAATTGTACCACGTGGGACATCTTACTTAACTCTGTCTCTCAGCTTCGCCGTTTGTAACACAGGCCTAACCCCACCTACCTCAGAGCGCAGCAGCTGCTATCACTGAATCAGAAAATCTTATGGAAGCCTAGCAATAATGATGATGATTAAAATAATAATAATAAAATCACTGAACACAATACTCATTATGCCAGTCACTGGGCTAACACGTTTCATGCGTACTCTCTCATCTACTCCTCACATCAGTCTCTGAGTCACCTCCTGTCCTCATGTCACTTTCCACATGAAGAAACTGAACAGAGGGAGGGAGCGATCTCTCCAAGCTGACACAGCTACAGGCAGGAAGCGGCTCACGGGCCCTCGGGGTTGCAGGGTGGCTGTCGGGCACGGCAGGATAATAATGCGCCCCGCACACCAGCACAGGGAGGTGCAAAGGTAGGCCAAGGGCAGCAAAATGATCGGGGCGGGGAGGGGCGGGCCCCCTTTCACAGCAATTAGCGCTATTACGCTGTGTAAGGTCGGGAGGTACAGCTTGCCATAGCCCACACTCCTGCCCACACAGGAAGCCCCAGGAGGCTCCGGGGTTGCCCTGCCCGAGCCATGGGTATGTTCAGAGCCATAGTGGAGGATTCCCTCCTTACTGCGGCGCGTCTTGGGCCGCCTGCTAAAGAGTACTTAAGGCCATCTTTACTACTGGTCTCAAAAACCCAGTATTTCCGAAACAGGACCAAAGTAAAAGCATCACCATTTTTTCCTATACAATCTTTTACTTCCTTTCAGTATATACACTGTGTATAGAAAAGACTGAAGGAAGTGAGCCACCAGGAAAGAGGTCCAATGGCCCACAGCCCCCGCCCCCCCACCCCCCACCCCCCGCGCTGAGAAGCACCCCCCAGCCAGGTGGAAGAGGCACCTGGAGGGCCGAGGACGGGGCCAGCAGTCCCAGAAGATCTCCTGGCCCACGGCCATGGGACTGAAGCCAACATGAAGCTTCTCACCGCCTCAGAGTTCAACTGAAACACATGAAGCTTCTGTATCACCCAGTCAACCCCTGCACTGTTAGAATAAGTACTTTTGGTTTAAGCCAAAATACGTTTTCGGGTGGTTTGGTATTTAATGAAACAGCCAGAAATCGGCTTGTATATAATGAAACAGCCAGAAATCGGCTTTTCCAGCCGAGACATTTATCAGATCTATGAGTGAGAAGGGTCTTAACAGTGGCCATAGTTTATCCATAGAAATGCTACGTTCCTTCCATTCAAGGATGCCCATCGGCTGGAACACTCAGCTCAGGGCCTCCACTGTACCTGGGTCGATAGTGTTAAGCAAATATGAATAACAATCACATTAATAACAGTAATAACGGCCGCTAATATTTACCAAGTGTTTCTTCCATGTAAGGCTCTGCACTAAATCTTTTATTAATTTAACCTTCACAAAAGCCTTTGTGGACCACTCTGACGCCAATTTTACAGATGAGGACGGCGAGGCTCAGAGTGGAACGGGACTTCACCCTCTGGCCCTCTGCCTGGGGAACCGTGCTCCTAACCACCATCTGCAGCGCCCCTTCGGGGACCATTCTCCTTATAAAAAGTTGCCTCCCTCTGAAAGAGATAACCGGCGTAAACGGTTTAAAACTATGCCTGGCCTCTGATGAGTTTCCAATGAACACCCACTCTTAAGATTAGGAAAGTTGTAGGTCGGGGAAGGGAAGCGCAGAGGAAGACTTCCATTTAAGTGAGCTAGTTTGGTCATTTGCACAGGCGCCCTTCACCAGCCGGCTCTCCCCCTGGGCACTGAGCTCCCCGAGTGCTTGCCCTGATTCTGGTTCATCTGGGTGGGTCCGGAAAAGTAGGTGCTCAAGAAACGTCTGTGGAATGGAAAGGAAAGCTTCATTTGCCACGAAGGCGACTTTGCGCTTCCAGGATGACATCTCCCCAGGCCACTCGTCCTTAAAGGGATTCCAAAGGAGAGGACAGGTGGAGACAAGTGAAGGAGACCCACTGAGAAATGCGCGCGCCGTTGAGCAACCTGGGACAAGAGAAGGCGCGGGGCTTGTGCCAGGACACCGGGGAAGTCTGTGCTACTCTATGGCCGGCACTCGGTGAGCGGGACCTCCCCAGCTCCCCGGTACTCGGAAAAGAGCAGACCTTGGGGGGGCCCCCACCCCGCCCCTCCCCGGGCGCCGCCGCAGGAGGAGGAGGAAGACAAAGAAAGTAACAGCCAGTCAGAAGTTCCCCAACAACCAAACTCCTAACCCCCGGAGGGGAGGGCTCTCCGTCCTCGGCCGCCCCGCCCAGTAAGGAGGGGCCACCACCAGCGGAAAGAGAGAGCTGGGAATCCCGCTCCTCGTTTTTAGATGTTTTTCATTCTTCCTGAAAAGTAGGAGAATGGGTCCCAAAACCCTTCTCACACCTGTAGCAACCCCCCGGCGTTCCTTGCACCCCGGATTCTGAGAGACGCTCCCAGGGAGGGGCGGGGACGCCCCAACTGTTACTTACAATCGTCTTAAGTCATCCTGCAAGTCCACAAAGTACAAGGGGATCTCTGAAAACCAAGAGACAGAGGAGTTACGAGGGGGCGGCCGCAGTCGGGCTCAGCGGCGAGCGGGGGTCTCCGGGCCCCGCAAGGTGGTCGCCGCTAAGGAGAAAGGGGCCGCAACCGCGCCCCCGGAGAACTGCCCCACTTACCCGCCATCTTGGGATGGGCTTGGAGGCGTGGTCTGCGACGGGGGCGTGACCTTGGGCTCCTAGCCCCGCCCCCGGGCCCGGGCCTCCCCTCGAGCCTCGCGACGCCGGCCGGGCCCCGCCCTCCCAGGGAAGGTGGCTGCCGAGGTGGGCGGGGAGGTCAGGTGACCCGGCCGGCGTCCCAAGATGGCGGCGGCGGCAGCACCCGGGAGGCCGCGGTACCGTCCGGGCTGCTGAGAGGGTTCCTGCGCGGCTGGCGGCGGACGGGCCGGGCCGAGGGCCGGCGAACAGGCGGTCGCCGCCTCTACGCGCCCCGCGACCGGGGCTGGGCCGTGCGGCGGCGGCGCCGAGGAATGCCCGTACTGGGCCTGGCCTGTCCCTCCTCAACTTAGGGCGGCGGCGGGCGCGGCGGGCCCGCGCCCAGGCTCCCGAGCCATGGCGCTAAGGGAGCTCAAAGTGTGTCTGCTGGGGGTGAGTGACGGCAGGCGGGCCGGCCGGGAGGGCCGCGGGAGGCCGGGCGGGCCGGGGTCCAGGCGTGCCCATGTCCCGTCCGCCCCTGCCCCCAGCCGCTCGTGGGATGCCGCCTACCTGCCCGGGACCCGCCCTGCTGTCCCGGGGCTCACGGCCCTGCGGGCAGGGAGGGACCCCCCACCTTGTCCCTTCTGGAGCTGGAGGTCTCTTCCCGCCCCCCAAGGGTGACGAGCCCGACCTGACTCTCCTGTCCATCTAGGTTCAGAACAGCTGTTAAGTTTCCTACCTAAGCACTAGAGTTGGCCAAGTCTCCCCGAGTGAAAACCCGTGGCAGGTCCTTCGCTTCTTCAAGCAGCATGAGTCTCCCTCCCCGTCTGTTTGGTGTTTTTGAACTTCTGGGTCCACCCTGACATTTCTGGCAGTTACTTTCCTGGGGCGGGGCGGGGGGGCCCTGGTCGAAGCAGGAAGCCCCAAAATGAGTGAAGCTGCCGCTTCCTGTCCGGTCAGGCAGGCAGGCAGCGATGCAGGGAGGAGAGCCTGCCTCTTGGGTGACCCGGTGCCCAAGGTGCTGCTCAGGAACCCCAGGGATCCCCATAGCTAGACCCTCCCCTTCCCAAGCAGGGTGGAGCTGGAATCTGCCCTAGACTTCCTAGGAGGAAATCAAGAGTCCATAGTTTATACAGTTAAGCAAGTGACTTTGTCGCTGTTCACACGGAGAGACTTTGAGTCTTTCGAAGAGTCCTAAAGTTTTCTTAAAAACTGTAAAACCCCTCCTCTACAATACATTCGAAATCTCATGACTCCCACTGAATCTTTATGAAAACCTCCTTTGTGTCCCTGAACTTCTAAAACGTATCCCAGATGAGTTTTCTAAAATCCCGAACTTAGGGCACAGGGTAGTTTTTAGGTTTGCAGGCAGATAAACCTCACTCCCCCGTTTCCTTCTCTTTCAGGATACAGGTGTGGGTAAATCCAGCATCGTGTGGCGGTTCGTGGAAGACAGTTTCGACCCGAACATCAACCCAACGATAGGGTAAGAGACTGTTCGTTGAATGTACATCTCACAGTGTGTTGAAAGGCCTTCCAAATACAAAGGGTGTTATGGGGGGAGGGGAGGAGGGTGCGTCATTGCACTTGCTAGTGGATTCAGAGACGTTGGCGCCCATCCCTTCTGGAAGGATGTGGGAGACTGTGAGGAAGACTCCTGTGTCCTCAGAACATTCTCTTTTGGTTTGTGAGGACTGAAAACGCCAGGATGAAAATAGGAATTAAAATCCAGAACATACGTAGAACCTTCCACGGCAGCAGTTACACGTAAAATAAGGCAGGTGCAACAGGCCTGTGTCTTCAGGCCTGTCGGCCAAAAGCTATTGAGATGATTTGTGTTCTGCCTGAAAAGTAGGAGAATGGGACCCAAACTCTTCGCACGCTTGCCTGCTCTAGTAGTAGTGATGAATTAACAAATGAATGCTGAAATGTCTGCATTTAGGGTGTCTGGCTCTTTGGCTACAGTGACATTGACTGGCAGCAGGTTTTTGACACACAAAAAACTTTTCAGGGTATTTAAATATCATTATATTAATATTTTTCTCTGTGAGTTGTGTTTTATAGGTTTTCATACTATGTTAGGCTTGTAAAACCAAAGAGCTCGTATGCGATTTATATTGCAAACCCCCAATCAGATGTTTTATTCCATTTAAAGAGAAAGTCTGGTCCGCCTGATAGGGAGGTCTCTTCCTCATACACGTACACATTGGAAGGCCTGGAGCTGAAACCACCACTAACTGTCCAGAATGCAGGTGCCTTGCGCCATCCCTCAAAAGAGAACCCGGTGTGTTTACATGTATAAAGCATGATCTCTTCCGCCACCAGGCCTACCTGTTGCTACCTGCATGGGAAAGTAAAGTGCCAGGAAGTGACAGCAGGTAGTGCCTGTGACTCAGAGAGCGACACACCGGACACGTAGTCAGAGCTGAAAACACAGCTCTGAAGTACCCAAGTGTGTCCTCAAAGAAGGGGACCAAAATGAAGGGCGTGTTCTTGGCAGTCGTGCGGCCCTCCCAGCCCGGTGCACGGTGCACGCGGGGGCTCCTGACCTTCCGAGTCCCGTCTCCTCACCGGGTGGTCCGCACTCACATTCATGGGAAAGGGGGATTCAGGGCTTGCCCCTGGTTTCCTCCCGCCTTCCCTTGTTCCCTCTGCCCCAGCAGGTGTCTTCTTCCCTCATGACCAACCCCCAACACGCCTGACCCTGGGGCCCCCCTTCATCGGTTCTCCCCTCTCTTCCCCGGCCCTGCCTTTCTGTCCTAGCGTGCACACGGGCTTCTGATGCTCCCTGAAGACAGTCCCCGTCCCCAAGCCTGCCACTCTGGTTGCAGAGCTCTTGAAAGAGAAGTGACTACTTCCTCAACCGCTGCTCCCTCCTCAGACCACCGCCGTCTCGGTTCCACCCCCACCGTCCCACTGAAACCACGCTCCTGAGTGCCGGTTTCCGTCTCACTGCTAATACCAATGGCTTCCTTTCTCCTTCTTCGTTCACGGTGTGCCTGCTGTATGGCTGCTGGTGATGTAGACCCGGGGGCAGCAGGTGCTGGCCTGTTGGCCCACCTCCTGTTTCTGAAAAGGAAGCTTCACTGAAACACAGTCACGCCCGTTCGTTCTCACATCGTCGCCACGGCTTTGGGGCTCCAGTGTCAGAGTTGAGTAGTCGTGACTAAGACTCTATGGCCCGCAAAGCTGAGGACACTTACTATTTGGCCCTTTTCAGAAAAATTTGCCAGCCCCCGATTTGGATAAACTCAGTCCCTGCCTTCATGGACCCAACCTACAAAGAGGAGAGGTGTGTTCTGTAGCCTGTGTACAGGAAGTGTGTGTGTGACCATTTTCTGTGCTGCACAGAAGTGTGAGTGAGCGAGCATGCAAGGGGCCTTGCCTGGGCTCCGGGGAATGACGGGTGCCTCGGGGGAACAGTAAAGGGATCGGGCACTTGAAAGCCTTGACATTTAAATAGTGAAAAATGAGCGGGTTATACTTCAGTAAAAAATGTAAGGAAAAAAGTTGCTGAAGAATGGAAGTTAACGCGTTGGCAGCGTCGAGGGCCGCGAGTAGCACGGGCGTGCTGGAGGGGCGGCCGGGGCTGCAGAGGCCCCTGGGCCGGGCTCCGGGGGGCCGAGGGGGCCTCTTGGAATGAAACCCCTGTGTCTGCCCTGGCTCCCCTCCTGTGTTGGTGGCTGCACTTGCTCCCCATGCTCCCCTGCCTCTCCTCCCCCTTACTTCGCACCGGGGCACCTGGCAGTCTTCCCTAGGCTGGGCTGCTCCCGCCCTCACACAGGTCAGCTCCATCCCTGCGGCTGGACTCCAAGTCCCCTTCTCCAGCCTTTCCTCTTCGGGCAGGCCCGTATTCTCAGCCCGTGACCCGGACCTCGTTCCCTGCAGAGCTGGGTATCGACCGGCCTGTGGTCCAGCATCCCTCGCTCCCGTACTCGCGGCCTTCCCTAACAGGCCAAGTGTGTCCTATGAGGGAAGAGCGGGCCCTGGAGAGCCCCCCAGCCGGGGCTGAGATCCAGGCCTTAGCCCTGGGCCTGCGGGGGAGCTTCCAGACAGTCAGCCGGGCCTCCCCTTTGGGACAGGGCGGTGACAGTCGCGCCTGCCCCCCGGGGTTGCTGGGAGAACTTGGAGGTAGGCAGGGAGTGCTCGTGGTCGTCGTAGCGCTGTGATCGGATGCCATTGCCGCCTCCCAGGCCAGTTCGGCCCTTCTGCCCTGCCACTGGGACCGGGCTGCCCCTGCTCCCAGCTCCAAGCCCTCCTCCTGCTTTGCTTGGTCTCTCTCTCCAGCGGGTTCTCATTTCTCTCATCTGAGCCACTTGAAGAAGAAGCCTGGTCTCCCTGCTCAGGACCAGGGCGCACAGACCTGTCCCAGTCTGGGCCCCGCCTCAGCCCCCCCAGCCCCCTCCGCCCTGTCCTGGCCCGCTTCTCCCCTCACACACGCACACTCACTCACTCACACCCTCACACCAGGTGACACCCTTCCCGGACCTGTGTGCTCAGGTGCTTACAGGTGCCCTTCCCTCTGCAGGGTGGGGCTTTTCTCTGTCCCCTTGGTGAGTGTGAGTGCCTGTTTATTTGTTAAGATTCAAGTACTGCTTTGAGCGCCTCTAGAAGTTGGAAAAATCCCCTGCCAGCAGGGACCTGGCAAGAATGTAAATAAGGGAGGTGGCCCAGATGGAAGGACTTGAGGTTCTGGGGTGTGAACTGTCCCGTTTCCTGCCTGCCCCCCCGCACCGCGCTCCCCCCACCCTCTTACTCCACGGGGACGTTCTTCGGTCTCCTCTGGCCCCTCACCCCGTGACCCTCCACTCTGTGTGCGGCCCCAGCTAGACCCCTGTGACCTTGTACTCTGGTTCGATGAGCGTTTTCATTGGGTGGCCGCGGGTTGCATCCATAGCAGGGGTTTTCAAGGCTGAAGCCATTTGCCTGTGGCCCCTTACAGTCGCCGCGGCAGGGAGCTGCAGTCGCCAGCAGGAGCGTGCTGGGTTCCTCGGCTACTGGGGTGAAGGAGCAGTTGCTCATCGAAACTTGTACTCCTTCCCGTGCAACCTGGGTGCCTTCGATGGCTTTGCCTTGTCTAGTTCTGTTGGCTGGGCCCCTCTCCTCTGTGGAGAAGTGGGAGGAGGAGACACCCTTCCCCCGCTGGGGGCAGGCCGGTCGGGGGGGGGGGGGGAGCGCCAGGCCTCCCACCATCAGGTGGGGCGGCTGAGCCGGGCTTTTTCTAGGCCCCCTCTGGTGGGTGGGAATGTTCTTGTCTAGCCTTAAAACAGTGAGACTTTTTTATCGTGAGGTATGTTGAATCCTGTCAGGTGGGTTTTTTAACATCTTTTGAATTGTTCTTATGCATTCTCTTTTTTAGTCTTAAAGTAATGAATAAACAGTGAATGCTAAAATACTAAACCAATGTTATGTTCCTAGGGCAAATTTCCCTTGGTTATCATCATTCTAATACATTATTGGATTTGATTTACTAAAGTTTTACTGAGGATTTTTGCCTTCATATTCGTTGTGTATATCGATGTGTAGTTTTTTGTATCTTTCTCTAGATTTGGTGTCAGGGCCTCATGAAAGAAGATGGGAAGTGTTTGCCCCTCTCTTACTTTTTTGGAAGAGTTTATGTAGAATTGGTCTTATTTCTCCCTTAAAGATTTGGTATAATTCACCAATGAGGCCATCAGAGTGAGAAGTTTTCTTTGGCAGAAAAATTGTAACTACAGGTTCAATTTCTTTCATGGATATAGGCCTAGTCATTTCTTCCTGAGTATGCTTTGGTAGTTTGTGTTTTTAAGAAATGTGCCCTTTATATTTTTTTTCAATTTATTGGAATAAAGCTGTTTATAATATTACTCTTATTATTCTTTTAATGTCTTTAAGATCTGCTCAGCTATAACTATATCAATTTTAATGACCTTCGCAAAAAGCCAGTTTTTTAATTTCTTAATATTTCTCTGTTTTCTATTTAATTGATTTATTTCTTTTATCTTCATGAGGTTCCCCCCCTTCCCTCACTTACTTTGGCTCAATTTGTTCCTTTTTTTTTTCAAGCTAGAAGTTTAGAATATTGATTTTTAAGGCCTCCCCCCCCCCACCATATGAGTATTTAGAAATATAAATTTCCCTGTAAGTACTGGTTTAAGTGAGTTCCCCAGATTTTCATTTGTTGTGTTTTCATTTTCATTTAGTTCAAAGTGTTTCTTATTCCCCTTGTGATAAGTTTGACTTGGGCTTTTAGGAATGTGTTTTCTAACTTCCAGTTATTTGGGGGTTTTCCAGAAGTTTTTCAATTATTGGTTTCTAGTTTAAATCCATTGTGGCCATAAAATATACTCACTGTTTTTTCACACCTTTTACACTGGACACTTATATGTCTCACAACATGGTTTTTGTGGGTGTCTCATGTGAGCTGAGGAAGAAGGTGTCCTGCCGCTGTGTGTGGGGCGTGTCCTCTGCATCTGGGACAAGCCCCCCTGGGTGATGGCCGTTTCC